ATGGATCAGGAACACCATACTGCATCTGTAGTAACCATATGGACAAAACCAGATAAAAAACCAAAATTCGAAACCAACATTATGCTAGAAAATATAGTTTGCAAGAGATTTCAAGAATTGAGCCTCTTACTTGAAAGGAATAAAGAAAACGAAATTCTTACAACTCTCTGTATCTTCGGCACAACCACAAATCCCAGTAGTCCAATCTTCATCAGCAGGGGGCTCATAGCTTTCGGGTAAAATTTGTCCACATTCTGCGCATCTATGTACATTCAACTAAACAACAACCCAAATAATCAGGAGTGAAATTGAAAAAGGAATAAAAGAAGGAAATCGTACTCGTAGAAACGAGGAATCTTCTATACACCAAGTGCTGGCCTGCTTTGATTTATCCAAAAGATTCATGACGGAAAGACGAAGAGGATTGATCTTGATAATTATTACGTTGAGTTAAGTTCATATCACAATTCTATAGATTATGAATGAGAATCTGATGATTTACAGACCATACATGCAATTTGTTAAAACCCCGTAAAACCACCATAATATTGCTTGCTCAAAATTACTACTGAAAAATCTAATGAAACAGAACTAAAGCATCAGATGCCGTAGGCATAACTAAACTTAGGGCGCCGAGAAGATGAAGAAATTGAAAGAAAAAAACAAAAAAGAAGATCACCAGAATCATGATTTACATTTTCTTTTTAACCTTACCCGCAGTTATCGCTCATCTTCTGATACATTTACTCAAGAATCAAACAAGGGATAAACACTGTCATAGACTATCAGAGATGATCCCACCAATGAGGAAGAATACAACATACATACAAAAATACATATAGGTAGATATATAACGCATAAAAAATAAGGGAAACCTGAGGGACTTGAATGGGTTGATTGAGTTCTCCAGGGGCGATATCTTCGAGAGGAGCTTGATCCTTTTGGAGCTTGACATAGCGCGATTGGGCATTCCCGTCGGCCATCTCTGATCTGTTGCTATGTTGTTTGAATCAATCCATACACATATATATTACGTAATTTACGTTTA